CTTCAAGGAGGACTGCTCCATCATTTACCTGAGGCCTTGGTGCTATCCGCCCAACTTCCTCAACTCCTTGAGTGATAACCCGAGGAAGTGTCGGGACGAGATGGAGAAGTACCATCAGATCACCAAGACGGAACATGTCCGCGAGGTGGTGTCCGTTCCATGCCATAGGTGCATGACGGCCCATCCGGTCGGCGCTCACCTGTGCACCGCCTGCTACCTTCCCATCTTCTACGATGGCGTCCTGCCCACCGGAGACACGAACGGCGGCCCTCGCACGATAGCGAGCACTGACGGGTTGGTTCCTCCCTGGCTGGCAAAATACGAGGGCTTCGTCCCCGCTCTGTGGAACAACTCAGACGCCAACGCCATCGGAATGGCCCTCTACTCGCAGAGTCCCGCCGTCGATGCCCGGTCCTTGTTGATGTCTGGGATGCGGCCTCCTAAGTACCTTGACAAAGAGGACGTGGATGGCATTTTCCGGAAACTTCACGACTCGCTTCGAGACGAAATCCTTGACGGCAAATACCGTGACACGGTCGACAGCAACGTGGAAGAGTGGGTAGCAAAGGCGATCCTGGTAAGGGGTCTGGCCTTCAACGGGAGCTCCGTCCCCGAATTCTTCGAAGAATATGAGGGATATGCGGCTGAGTGGGGCAGACGCCTAACCACCGCAAACTTCAATGCCAACCGGTGCGGTTTCTACACGTCCTACTACATTCTTGAGGCCCATATCATTGGGCTGAGAACAGGACACCTTTCTCCGATACTCCCCAACGATGTGTCCGGAGAGGGATTCAAGTTCCAGGTGAAGCTGCTCGCACAGCACTGCGGGATATTGCAGGCCATGCGGAGAAGGGCCGGTTTCGATCCTGCCGCGCGCCTCAAACGGGCTATGGACACGATACGGGAAGGCATTAAGAAGGGGTATGTCTACACCCTCAACGACCTCAGCAGTATGGACGATCTGATCTACCGGACGTCCACCGTTGCCTACGACACCTGCTTGGCCGACCGTCCTCAAACCCAGGATGACATCAAACAGGAGCTATCCGACCCCGTACCAAGGAAATACCGCTTCCGACCCCGCGATCGCCATCGACCCGGAATTCGCCTTACACCAGGCCCCGGCGTGAAGGACGAAGACGAGCCCGACTTTGCTGGATCAGCGGAGGATGAGCTGGGATCGGATGGTTCTTCGCACGAAGATGACGAGAAGCCTGACGACCTTGACGAGCCCATGGGCGACGACGAGGAGGAGATCCCTCCCCCTCCGCCACCGCCCCCGGCTCCTCCTGCGCCGCCTGTCCCGGTAGAACCGGAGACTCCCGTGGTGCCGCATGCAGGCGTCATTTCTGGCGATGCTGTGCCAACTCCTCCTCCTCCTCCTCCCGCTCCCATTGCGGCAGGCGTTACTACGACTGGGGATCCGTTTGAGGAAGAGGACATGGCCATCAATACTCGTGTCCCTGACACCGAGTCCGAGCTGGAGGGTGAGTCCGACCAACCCAAGGCCAGAAGGACATCTCGTGGTCGGGTCCCCGCGCCCGAAAAAGGGCAGGGGGGCGTTCAGGTCCCGCCTAGCGGGCAACCCAGCTCTAAGAGCATGGCCCAGCCTGCCCGCCCATCCCCGGTCCCCGCGAGAAGCGGTGTGGAAGGTGGGGAGAGAAGGGGCAGGACCAAGGGTTTCTACACCCAGAAGGATCCTTTTACCGGCGAGGACGCGACTCCCCGAGTTCGTCTTCGATCGGGCGGTCCCGGAACTCCTGCGTCCCCACCACGGGATGCCACCGGTTCCTTGGGCGGCCATCGCGGCTATGACCCGCGTGATGACGACAACGACGAGTGGGAGCTTCCCCCGGGTGTGCCTCGGACCACTCGTGCGGCAGATGAGTCGCGGCCCCGACGAGATGACGATCGGTCAAGGACCGCGCTTGGGGCTCGCGAGGATCGTCGTGGTCCTAAGGGTGAAGGGAAGGGTCGAGGAAAACATCGACCTGGCAAAGGAGGACGTGAGGATCCCGGCCCGCCCCGACAAAGGGATGATCGTGGCAGGGACACCCGCGGAGACCGACGCGATGATCGCCGACCTCCTCCACGTCGTGAGGAGACCTCCGAGAGGCGCGGCCCGGGACGAGATGAGCGCCGCGGACGTGATGACCCGGGCGATGACCGTCGCGATCGCCACCGGGACCGGCGCAGGGATGACCGACGTCACCAATCAGATCCCCCTCCGCCTCGCCGACCTCCGGCTGGCGACCACAATAGGGGTGGTGGTGAGGATCGCCGTCGGGATGGAGGAGGTGATCGAGGTGACCGTGGTGGACGCCGAAGAGACGACGCGCCCAGGGACCGGGAAGAGCCTGGTTCAGGGTGGTAGACGGGTGCCGCAATCAGCATCCGCCGGTAGACGGGTGCCGCAATCAGCATCCGCCTTAGAAGGGCGAGGATAGTACGTGTGTCGCCGACAAACGCGACCGCGCCGGTCCTCCTCTCGCCCGTGCAGCGCTGCTGGGGGTGATGATCTCCATTGCCCTGTACCGCTGATCCGGCGTTGCTCGTGTCCCTCCCGCACCGCTGCCGTGCGCGCCGGAGATGGTTCCCCTGGCGATCCTGTGTGAGGCTGTGACCGCACTAGAAGTGCCGGACCGGCCATAGCCGGATATTTTCACACCAATTTCGGAGCTTCCGTTTCTACTTTCCTCCCAACTCGACTCCTCTTCCAACCGTTCCACGGCGTGCAGTGAGGCGCGGTGATCCAGATAGGATCCCCCTCCGCATGGCATCGTCCCATGACAACTCATGAACGGCACGAGAGGAATCTTCGTCTGGTTCCTCCAATATGTCTTTGTTCACTCATGTGGTCCACTCGTCAAATAATCCTGTCGCCCCGGTAATTCGGGGTGGTGGCGGGATTTTAACTGGGGCCCAGGTGATGCCGTTTGGCTCACCTCTGAGTTGACACCGGCATTTTTGGTTGGTCCCTTTCGTCGTGAACTCAACTGTCTCGCATCCTTTCTCTCGTCCAGATATCGGATGAGGGGGGTGTGTTTTGTTCACGTGTTGTTTCATCATGTGGCAAAACGGCCGAATGGCCGTTTGGCTCAAGATTTCAACCTCCCGTCAGGGCAATCTCGGACCCACGTGCACCCGCCATAACACGGCGGCACTCTTCGTCCCCGAGGTGAAAACCGTGGGGCTGCGGGGCGCCGGTGTTAGGAGGTAGGTGGTCGGTCGTCGAGGTCATCCTGGGCTTGATTGACTTCTCTACTTTTGCAACCTATTTCCCAACCTCCCCAAACACCGTCTTTTTCCACCGTCACATCCTCAACCCGGTCATCATCCACAGCTTCACCCGAGTTGTGTTTCCGGGTGCTTTGGGTACATTGTGATCTACCTTGTGCTCATTTGCTTCCCTGGGCTACTTCGTGTTCGCCCAAAACCGCAGTTACAATTAGGGATTTGGCCGAACCTCACGATAACCAAACCCCGAACGCACCAAACATGTTTCATTTCCGTTGCTTCCTTTCATCAGCTACCAATCTGCAGGGTACCCTAAAACAGCTCTTCATAAACATGGTTCCTGCAAAAGTGACGGTTTTTGCAATTAGCGCAAAAAGGCACTTCCCCAAAAAGAGATCCCCTTCAAATTATTGTGGATGGATGAAATTTTGTGCCAGTTGGCAAGCATTGCGAAGGATCTTCCGGAAAAAATGCTAGCGAACTTGCATGCGCACAGTTGCACGAGACAACTTTCCCGAGCACACTTGCACGAGAAAACTTGCACGAGCACATTGCACGAGAAGACTTGCTCAAGCACACTTGCTTGACCAATCTCACATGAGCACACTTGCACGAGAAAGCTTGCACGACAGACTAGACATATCTTTTAAAGCAGCGCGGTGGGGTCAATGTGCCAAAACCGATGACTTTTGTTGCTGCTTTCTGAGATACGCGCGCGCGAGCCTCTGCGGGGATCGCGTGGTCAACGTGCAAAAACACATTTCCTTCGTTTGGATTTGCCCGAGCGACCCCGTGCGGTCCGCGTGGTCGCTGTGCAAAAACTGAGGGCTTTTGCTGCTGTTTAGTGCTTGCGGATGAGTCTTCAGAAGTAGGGATGCCGGTTTGTGCAGACACCGAAGCATTATGAGAGAAGGACATACTTGCGAAGAGCGGCTTGCACAGTAACCTTTGCAGAGCAACTTGCGCAGAGCACTTGCACAGCAAGCTTCGCAGAGCAACTTGCGCAGAGCAACTTGCGCAGAGCAACTTGCACAGAGCAACTTGCACAGTAACCTTCGCAGAGCAACTTGCGCAGAGCACTTGCACAGAGCAACTTGTGCAGAGCAACTTGCACAGAGCAACTTGCGCAGAGCAACTTGCGCAGAGTAACTTGCACCGTAACCTTCGCAGAGCAACTTGCGCAGTGCACTTGCACAGAGCAATTGTGCAGAGCAACTTGCACAGAGCAACTTGCACAGAGCAACTTGCGCAGAGTAACTTGCACAGAGCAACTTAGCCCGAGCACTTGCGCAGAGCAACCTGTGCAGAGCAACCTGCGCAGAGCACTTGACGGAGCAACTTGGGTTGCACAGAGCGCTTGCGCAGACTAACTTTCACAGCACGTTTCCGCAGAGCAACTTGCACAGAGCAACTTGCTCAGAACAACTTGCACAGAGCAACTTGCACAGAGCAACTTTCCAACATCATTTTCACAGAGCGCTTGCGCGAGCAAAGTCGCGCAAGCACACTAGCGCGAGCAGACTTGTGCGAGAGTTAAAAATCAAGATTTGCTCCGCAGTTCCCTTGATGTTGATGGACTCCATATCGTGCACGAAAGCCAAGGCCGCGATTGACAACGGTACGCCGCGGTTGCTATACGTCATACTTTCGGGCCACCAGTTCTTCCAGTTGATGTCTCTTGTGCCTGACATCCGCCCGCCATGTTTCCAATTTTCGCAAGGCAAAGAGTAGCAGGTTAGTTTTCCATGTCTTTGGCGCAGGCCTTTAGCGCCATCAGCGTGAGCGCGGTGGCGGCCCTGCTGCGGCTGAAGAGGAGCCCAGAACCGGGCATCGCGCTTGTGCGTGTGGCTGTGGGTGTGAGTGTGCGTGCGTACGTGTGTGCTTGTGTGATTGTGTGTGTGTGTGTGTATGTTTGTGTGTGTGTGCGTGCATGCGTGGGCGTTTTTGCTTGAATGTGTGTGTCGTGTGCTTCTGTGTGTGTTTTTCTGCCGCCTGTGCGCGCGGTGCCCTTAACAGTAATGAGTTTCGCTTGGTTTGCCCTAGAGGCCAGATTCGGGGTGTATGTGTGTGCGTGCTGTCTGGGGTAGTGTGTTTGTGTGTTTGTGTGTTTGTTTTGGTGTGTTTGTGCTTGTGTGTATGTCTGTGTGTGTGTTTGTTTGTTTTGTTTGCTTGCTTGCTTGCTTGTTTGTTTGTCGGTTTGTTTGTTGGTCTGTTTGTTGGTTTGTTGGTCGGTTTGTCTGTCTGTCTGTTTTTTGTTAACTTGCTTGCTCGGTTGGTTGTTTGTTTGTTGGCTTGCTTGGTTGTTTGTTTGTTTGCTTGCTTGTTTGTTTGCTTGCCTGCTTGCTTGCTTGCTTGTTTTTTGTTTGCTGGTTTATTTGTTTACTTGATTGTTCGTGTACTTCTGAGTTGATATGTTTGTCTGCCTGTTTGTTTTTTGTTTGTTTGTTTGCTTGCTTGCCTGTTTGTTTGTTTGTTTGTTTGTTGGTTTGTTTTTTTGGTTGTTGACTTGTGTGTTTGTTGGTTTGTTTGTTTGGTTGGTTTCATAGATGTATAAATTTGTTTTTGTTTTTGTTTTTCTGTGTTCGTTCTTTATTTCTTTCTTTCTTTTTTTGTTTCTTGCTGCCTGTCTGTCTGTCTGTCTGTCTTTCTTTCTTGATTTTTCTCTTTCTTCCTTTTTTTCTCCGTTTCTTCGTTCGTCCGTTTGTAGGGTGCATGTGTTGTGAGAAGGTCAATTCAAACCACTCCAGGCGAGAAAACCCGAAGGGCAACCAACAGAGATCCCAAGTGCTCAGGCTGTGCTGCAATGGGATGTTGGACGGGAGCCCGCAATAAAGTCTGAACCCATCAGGCTGGTTCTGGCAAAAATAAGGTCGCTGTAGGGAGCTTGTTAAAACGGGGTTCAGCCAAACGGAAACCCTTGCCATTTCGGCAAAAATGAACCGACACACATTTTGTTCCGGGTGAAATGCCGATGTAGTTTTTGCGCACAGCCGGCTTCTGCGGCTTGTTCAACGCGCCAGTGGCCCCACGCCCATCATCGCGCTCAAAGCCTCCATCACCGACTCCAACGCCTCGGAGTTCGCCGAGGCGATGTCATTCGCTTTGTTTCCGGTGCTGGGAGGTTCCCCCGAGCTAACTTGGAGACGGCAACTTTTGTTCAACTTAACTTGTGCTCACGGAGAATGGCGCAGCAAGGGCAGTCCTTTTTATGGAATTCTCAGATTTTGCCTAAAAGTGTAAGTTTTGTCCAGATCTTCCAGCTGGCTGATTCTGGAAAAGCGCCTCAAATGGTGTGCTTTTCTCTTGGAGTTGGTATCACCTTTGCAACTTGTCAACTGGACTTGCTCCATCGACTGGTGAGGCGATACGCGAGCACGGCAAGAAGGCTGAGCTGCAGGCAGCTGCACGTCGGTGCTCCAAAGCTTGGGGCTCGTGGGCGCTTTTCTTTCGGTTTCCCAAGCCATCCAAGGGGTCTGAGGTCTGAGCCCCTTACTTTTAGGGGAGAACACCCATGTGAATGATCAACTTTTGGAGCTGTGTCCGTGACAGACCATTTGGATTACTGCTTGTCAATGCCAGAGGAATCCTTCCTGCAAGTCCGTTCGTGACTGGACTGCTGGCCCCCACTACATTTCGTCCAAACTTCAAAAATTCTTCTCTCTTAGATAATTAACGCAACCAGTTATAAAACCCTCCTTTTTTCCATTTCATCCTCGCCAATTACCCGTAGCTTGCTCCATTGGTCGCTCGCTGGATGTGTCAGATAGCCCAGCCCCACTGGTTTGGATTTGCAAGAGCTGAAGTGGAGCCGCGGCGATGGGCAGACTTCGCAGGTTCAGCCTTGCAGCTGGGTGTGGGGAATGGACCTGCCACAAGAAACGGGTACCAAAGTTGCAACATATATGGGTGCCAGAGCGCCTTATATCGGAGTTTGCAGGGTGGCCATGGTCTTGCACCAGACAAGCCAGTCAAGCCCGAGCGCTCCGAAACAAGTTCCTGGACTTTACATACTTAAGACTATTTTAGTGGCCAAAGCTAGGACTTGTTTTTTTTTTGGACATTTCATGCATGGTATAGCTATCTTCCTCGTCCCCCAGAAGCATCGTTCCCAGCTGAAGCTCAGTTTCACTGGCAGCATACTCTCACACTCCGTGAGTGTAGCCACCCTCCCGGTACGGGGCCCAGTCACCTAGTAACGACATGTCAATTTCTCCCGAGCAAAGGGTTTTGGTGTCGGCTGAAGTGGAGGCCTTGGAGTTGCCCTTCAACCAGCAGATGGGGGAGGAAGGCGCGCCATTGGGTTGGGGGTTCTGGGGGGGGGGGGCAGTGGGAGGGTTGGGGGGTTGCTTTTCTGCATTTGGGTGCAACCGTTTGAAAAGGCCTGGTCATCTTGCAGCTAGCATTGGCTTTTCCATATAGCGCCATGCGGAATTTTTTCGGGCTGCGTTTTTGGTGTCGATGCAAAATGCAATTGACTGCCTCGTGCGTATTTCGCAGCGTCGGAGTATCGGAGCTAGCAAGGTTGCTCGCTCCACATGACGTGCGAACTGGTTCTCGTGTGTTGGGCTCTGCTGTGGCTGCCCCTTGTTTTTCCAGTCGGCTGTTGATTGGCAGCGAAGCCACGCTTGGCAGAAGGCTCCTGTTGGCAGGGAGCAGCGGTGTCTATTGCTACTTCCAGTTGCCTGCTTCTGGCCAAGCAAGACTGTCCTGATGGGTAACCAGAATTACGCTGTAGCAGAAACAGCAATGGCCAAGGATGCAGGGCGTCTCTTGCCCTTTGTCTCTTTGGTCTTTGGTGGATATGAATTCAAGAGTGTTTTCCATTGGAATTCGCGGCCGCATGACGAACCTTGACAACTATGGCTGAGGCCATGTTTGGAATATCCAGCACGGATGCTCGCATGCACCCACAGTCGTTGAGGTTCCCGCTGCTACATATTCGGGCCCCTTGTCTCATTTTTCTGCACTTCCCCGAATCTCAGCATTGCATGCTGGGCCCCTTTAAGAACACAGGCAAGGCTTTTGACCGGGGCCATGTACGGCTCAGATTGACACAGGAACCTTGGGGAACGCAAGCAAACCACTTCTGCGACAAGCGCAGTCCGAATTCCGCTAGTTTCCAATCTCCAGCTGGCAGATGGCATGGAAGTCATCTTCATGCAAACAGCCAACATCGCATGCCACGGTTTATGACTCATACCATGTCTGAGACGTAACCTTAGAGGCTCAGTTCCAATTTAGCCAGATAGTTTCATGGGGAGCAAGTCGCAATCTCACCAAGTCAAATGGCCAGTCTAAAAGTTCCTCAACTTTTATGTGCCGGTGTTCTCCAAAATTGAGAGGCCTAGAAAGCTAAGGTTGCTCCACCCAAAAGGGGGTGCTGCTTTTTGGAAGCGACCTCCCTTCATGCTCGAGCACACTTCTTGTTGAATAGGCACGCTACTGTTGGCACTGTGTTCAAGAGATACACGTCACCAATACTAAACTGCTTCAATCCTTTTTGGAAGCCTGAACGCTGACATGTTGGTGGCGCAAGATTGTCCAGGTTCCTTACGCATGCCACACCCGGGAAACGCCGAAATGCCGCAAGTGCTCCTTGACACACTCAGCGATTCCCCCAATGTTTGTTGCAACTCAAGCAATCCATGCGCCTATGAAATTTAATGGGGAACTTCAAAGGTGGTTGGTGGACCTTCTCATTCGCATCCCCGAAATCACCCCATGGCCCAAACCATATGCTTGGTATCGTCGGAACATCGCATCAGTGAAGCACCCGGTGTCTGCCCGGTGCATCCCATGCCAGGCCTCAAGGACATCGTAGAGGCTGTGGTCTCCACAAAGCGCGGGCCTCGGGATGCGGGGTTCGGGCCTGGGATGGGAGCGATTTGGGGCCGAACAAGGACTCACTTCCCGAGTTGGACTTTTGCCACAGGTGAAATATTGGAGCGAATCCACATGGGAAGTGAGCTGGCCTGCGAACCTATGGGGTCAGGGGATGGAGTCGTTGATTTTTCCTCCCCCCCCTCCCCAAAAAGAAGAAAAGAACGCAAAAAGAGCACCCAGCATGGTCATCCACTTGCACCCATTTCCATGGCATGTGACAACTTGTTTTTCACCTATTTACTTCTTTCGAGTCCAGGATTGTTCTTGACAAAGACAGGTCAACGCAGCCATTCGGCCGAGCTTCTGAAACTGGATACGGGTTCATTCTAGCACCTAGCAAAACACATGGGTGCTCGATGGTTCCCTCTTATGGGTGTGTGTGTGTGTGTGTGACTTTTTGGAGTTGATAGCCGTTTGTGGTGGTTTGTTTTCAAGGCCAACCAAAAAAACACCACCCGTTTTAGGGGGTCCCATATGGTGGATCAGCTGAGAGAACTTTTGACGAGTCTTGCTGACACCCGGATCAAGTCATTCCGCGTTTGGGTCGAGGCTATCGCTGGATGAGCTGGATCTCTCCTACAACCCACAGCTAGGCCTTGGGGCCGGCAGCTCGCAGCTCACAAGTCGGATCGATGGAACACTTCACGATTGATTTGGTGGGGTCCCGCAGATTCGCTGACTGGGCCAAAGCGGCCCCGGTGAATGGCACATGCTCTCGGATACACGGATCGAAGTGCGTAAGCAAGCAGTAATGAGATGGTACAGCCGCTCACACCAGATGCGACGTTTAATGCGCATGCACACCCACATGCAGTCACGTTTGCGCAGCCTTCGCACCTCTTGGGCCAAATGCTTGAATGGGCCCAAGGTTCCGCAGGGACCAAGAGATGTTGGTCCGCCGAGGTGTCTTCCGAAGCTCCATCTGAAAAGAGCTTCCATGCCAAGCTAGAACAAGAGCCAGGATGGCTCACAACTATCTTTTTATTAAAAAAAAACCTTGGTCCTCTGTCACCGAAGTCCGTGCTGTCATAGCAAAGTAGTTTGCAGAAGCTAGGTCCAACCCGAAGTCCCAGACACGCGGATTGCTTCCTTAGTTCGGCTTATTGTTGGAGGAGCTTCCCCTGTAAAATCAAACCTCCAAAAACAACAGTGCCCATTTTTCCCATGGCCACTGGGAGTCTGGGAAGTGGAAGCAGAACCCCCCTTTTGGTTTGGATCTGCTTAGAGGGGCAGGCAATCTGCTCGAGCAATTCACCGAGACACTGGCATGTATCCCAAGCCGCATCAGTGACC